TGAACCGCTAGGGGGATAAGTGCTGCTGCAATGTTTTCCTCTTCATCAGTGCCTCAAAGCTTCTGTTCTCAGCACTTGGGATCTGCTTTCTGGAATATTCAGATTTCAGTTTGGGAAGTTTGAAAAACTAATTCCCCAAATTCACACACTGAAATAAACCAGGCAGTGCTGGATGAACCTGGGCTGTGGTCCCTCCTCCAGGGACCAGGTCACTAACCAGGGCCCTGACAGCCCGGCTTCTGGGACCTTCCGCTGCCCATCAGCCAAGCCAGGTCACCTCATCCATTTTTCATGAGTTTATGTCTGGCCTCTGGGCAAGGTGGTGTGCTCCTTGAGGGCAGCCATTGTATCTTCCACTTCTGGGCACCAAGTAGGAGTTCAAGGAGTCTGAATTTGGAATTTGGGTGGGACAGGATGTGTCAGAGATGGACGTGGCAGCCGGGTTTGCCCTCCTCCCATGTCTGGCCACAATCCCTTGGTTTTTCAGGAAGAAAGGGAGACATAGGCATGAAAGGAGACATGGGGGTCATGGGACCCCCTGGAGCCCGTGGGGATAAAGGTGACTCAGGGATGCCCGGTTCCCCAGGTAGGCTGCACAGTCAGGTCTGTTGTCCTGTGGGTATTCCCTTTTTGTCTGGCGGGCTGACCTAGAGGGGAAAAAAATCCCTAAAAGTCCTTCTGTATTTTAGGTGTGGCTGGAATTCCTGGACTCAAAGGAGATCAAGGTAAGAGTTGTGGGAATCGGCATCATTCCAGCTACCGCGGTCCCTGGGCAAAGTCAAGTTCAGGACCTGACTGTACTATGTCTTATTTCATTGTAGTGTTAACCCAGAGCCTCTGGAGTTTTGTAAAATCTGACCTGTCCTAAGAGGAACAGAGCAGCTTTGGAGGGCAGGCCTAACTGATATTCTTTCTTAGAGCTTCATTCCACACTGCCACCCAGGGGTATGAAGCAGGATGCTCACACCCAGAGTTCCTAGTAAGTCCGTAAACCTCAAACTCTGCAGCAGTGAATGGAAAAAATTAATAAATTGCTGAGACTGTAATTTTCCTCCCACTAATAGGGCTAGTTCAAGGCTCCTAGAGTTTAAGCTGCCAAGGTGTTAAGAGATGCATGTGCCACTGCAGAGAAGAAGTGTGTTGAAGGGGTAGTCAGCCAGGCCCTCTGCCAACCACTCCCAGCCTTTCATTCATGACTTAACTTTCAGGACAACCCGGAGCCAAGGGTCTTCCAGGCTTTCCAGGAGCTGCGGGATCCCCGGGTGCCAAGGGTGAGCCTGGCAGCGCTGGTCCCACTGGACCAATAGGTGAGGTCCTGGGTCCCGTGGTGGGCGTGGGGAGTGATGTCTGAAGATCCACCCAGCCCAGACCTTACACCCTCCATGGTATCTGTTGTCCAGGACCATCAGGGAGGCCCGGGAGTCCAGGAGCCGAAGGTGTGAAAGGAAGCAAGGGGGACACAGGTAACAGAGGGCGTGGGTAGGCGGGCAGGTGGAGTTGCTGGGTATCAAGGATGGACAGAGAGGAAGACTACCTCCCAGCAGGTCCACCAGAAGCAGGCAGAGGGTCTCCTGTGTTCTGGCCCCTGACCCACCTGGATTAAAAAAGGCACTTTCCTCTGCCAGAGCCCTTTGAGTCCAAGGCCCTGGGGCTGTTTTTCTCTGCCCAGAGTCCCTGAGAGGATTTGAATGCCATGATCAAACCTCCACTGTCAAAGGGGAGAGCAGGGGGGCGCCTCGGCCGCACTGTCTCCTGGCCTGCATTCCAGGGGTGCTCGTAATGCCCTCTCCCACTGACCTGCGGTGGGGTCCCAAGGGTCAGGGCTCTGGATTTGGACAACAGCTGTCGAGAAACGCTTCTTGCACATTCTCCCAGGGGGGCTCAGGCCGAGAGGAGTGACCCACGGTTATCCAACTCACAGAGACTAGCTCATAAACCATCGTGCCAGCCTAGTCAATGTTATAAACTGTTAACGTCAATTTAGTCTAGGTTATAAACCATCATACCAGTGTGGTCTACTTTATAAAGAACTGTGTGTTTTCTAGTCACTAAGTAAGTCCAGGCACCTACGATGGTCTAGAAAGTCTGGTCCACTGTGTTAGGTGCTGGACCCCCATGATGCATAAGACCTGGTTCCTGCCTTCAGATGTGCAGGCTGATGCAGGAGATAGGTAGATGGACTGTTGCCAGATGGTGTCAGGCACACTGTGCTGTGGGTTTTGCATGGAGAAGCGCCACATGCCATTTAGAAAGCCAGGTGCAGGCCAGGAGGTATTGTGGCCAGTGCAGGGTTGTGAGAACGGGCTGTGTATCTTCCAAGGATGTCTGTGGACAGTCACTGCCAGAGCAGGTCATACTTGAGTTAGACAACCCGGATGCCTTCACCCCAGAACCATGTTAGAGATCTACACCAGGGGCAAGCCCTCTCAGTTTTCATTGAACAAGTGGTCAATGGATTGACTTTTTAAAACAAATGTGACTTAACCCAAATCCTTCAAGTTCACAGTGGCCCCTGGTGGGGTTAGCAAAAGGTAGGCAGTGCAGGAGTGCTGGAAGAGCTCGAGCTGAGTCTTGGAGGATGAGTAGAGCTTAGCCACGTGGGGAGAGGAAGGCAAGTCCGGAGAGAGGGAACCGAGCAGGTGAAGTCTTGGAGGGCGAGGGAGGGATCTGTAGGTGCATGTCCCTGGAGTCCAGGTCTAGGACGTGGTAGAGGCTCAGGAGCTCTGGCCAGAGAGCTGGACCATGCCACCTCCTGAGCCTTGGACTCTGGGCCTTCGACCTTTGGAGTTTCCCTGATGCTTGTCAGCAGCCCTGGCACAAGCAACTCCTATATCCTTGCCCTTCCAATCCATCCAGCCTTGGAGCTGATTTCCTTTTCACAGACGGTGGGTCAGTGCAGGCAGGGGCTCTGCTACCTGATGCCATATAAATGCCACTTGAAGGTCACCAGCTAGTCTGGCCTTCCAGAAACGTTCCATCTGGGTGTGGTGGTCAGGTGACCCCGATTAATTGGCTGCCTCTTTCTGATTTTATACTTCCATCTTCCCTGACTCCAGATCTTAGGGTGCCTGACTCTGAGGCTGTCTTACCACTGAGTTTTCTGCTTGGCTTCATGGAGATGTTGGCTCTTCTCCCTCAGTTATAAACTGGGAGCCCTGCCACCCGACCCCACCACTGCCCAGACTAGTGATTCTTGACTAAGCAAGAGTATGGGTGACAAAACATGATTTTACCCACAAGGGGCACTGCACCCACTCCCCAGGCCCCTGAGCCTGTGTCTCCCACTGAAGGTGGAGAATCTTGCCTGCACTCTGCATCCTGGGAGGGTTTGCATAATAAGAGCAGCTCCTGACATGAGCATTTTCATGACAGCCTAATGGAAAACACACTTTCATTAGTGCTGTTTTACAGTAAGAGATGCAGCCAGGGTTGGAATCCAGGCCCGGCTGACGCAAAGCTTGGGGCCTTATCCATTATACTCTGTCATGCTGCCTTCCTCTGCGGGCAGCCTGAGCCCTCCCCCACCCCTATCAGGGCACTCCACTGAGCGGCACCTTCTCCCTGTACCCAAGTCCTGGAAGGATCAGAGCAGAAGCTGCAGCAGCTTCTTCCACTCTTAGAAGGAAACATGGCGCTCTCAGGCCCTGTTATGGCTCTTTGCTATTTACGTAAGATCCCACAGACACTTTTGGCCAACTGTCTGGGAATCACTTTAACTCCATTATAGAGTCCCTGCATATCTGATGAGCACCTTTATGGGAACCTCCATCAATCAGGCCTAGTGGGAAATACCAGCCAGGCAGATTCTAAGGGTTATTCCTTAATTCCGGCTGCCCAGGTAAACATGGTGAATTACATTTTCAATTTGGGGCATGTGATGATTACAACAAATTCCAAATTGCGTATGTTTCCCGCTCAAACCCAAACGTTTGTCTTGATCAAGTAGCTGATGGTCTACATAGACATCTCAGGAGGGAATTCTCTTAGGACCATAAACTGGGTAGCTGTAGCCAGGGCTGTATTTCATCCTGAAGTCATAGGTGAATGAACTTTTGGAAAGGTCAGATTCTGCAGTGGGAGAAGGAAGGGTGGGTGGTGAGTGGGAGCCAGACCATCTCATCACGGAAGACAATGCATACTTGTCAATGTCAGGATGTGGGTATTCCCCAAACTGGAGGTACTGAAGTGTTGGTTCAATTTTGATCATATCGAGCCACTTTTTCAAACTGATGTATTTCCCATTTTGTAAATAAAATCATTAATCTCACAGGAGACTATCTAGCAGTATGGGATGAAAACAGAGAAATTCTGGTGCCGTGGCTTAACCTAGGTAACAGCTAGATCTCGTTATTGTGCATTAATTACCAAAAGTAAGAGGTCTGTTTAGTACTAATGATGCCTCCAAGCCAGGCACTGTGTTTGGGCCTTTCCTCCCGTGACCTTAGTCCATCCACACAGCTGAGTTTCATCATCCCTACCTTACAGCTGAGGAAGCAAAGGTAAAACCTTTCCTCAGGGTCTCACAGTTAATATACACTGAGTCCAGGAGTTAATCCCAAAGTCTGATTCCAAAATTGTGCTTTTCTAAATTTTGTTGTGTAGAATAACATAGAGTATAGGACTCAGAGAAATCAGAATTGCCCGCACCTCTCACCCCACAGTAGATGGGTAAATCCTAGCTTAGTCACCAAATCTTCTTGCTGCTGTGAACGCTCTCTAATCACACTCCAACCCATTCTGTTGGAACGTTTCCCCACGTTCACACCCCTTGAGAAAGATTAAAAATAAAGATGGCCAAGAGGAGACTCCTTCCATTCTGTTGGGAAGATAGACTGCAGTTTATTTAAGCAGGACATTATCACCGAGAAGAACTTTCTGTAATGGTAGTTTCCTTCACCGTTCATAAAATAGTGTTTTATCAAACCCCGAAAACTTAGTTTTTTCTAACCTTTGATCTTTCAAACGATTGTAGAATCATTTGACTTTGGGGAAAAAAATTGCAAAAAAAAAAAATCCACAACAAAACAAATTTTAGCTCTAAATCCTCTGGCCATTTTGAAAAGGAAAGTTTGTTTGGAAATAAGGAAGGGCTCACTTCAACTCGTGATCATGGCATTTCTCTTTCTACCACCTCACCTCATGAAATGAAGTTAGACACAGCCAAAACATTGAAGCTCCAAAATACCAATCTGATCAAAATTTCTGCATCTCAACAATCTTCATGTCTAAAATATAACAAGAATCTGAATTTTCTATGTCCTTTTATGTTTCTCTTGAGGCAAAGCCAAAGTGCAAATAACTTGAAATCTAGTTTCTCATCTGTACTTTAAGACGTGTTTTACTTTAAAGATATGTAACAAAGAATAATCCATAATAGCAATTAAGCCCTATATCATGAATATAATTTCTCAGTTGATTTCATTCCCCATGTCTAAGTATTGACTTAGTCCAAGAATTTATTAAATTCTACCAACTCATATTACTAAATTGTCACTTAGAGTTTTCTTCGTTTTCCTCTAAGTTTCTTAGAGACGTCTGAAGAAGTCTACATGCGTCCCAAATTTGGGTCCCCTACCTACCATCTTACTTCTTGTTATACAGCTCAATGTGTTAGGTATTAAATTAACCCAAAATTTGCCAGGCTGCACTTAGCCTGTAAGTTGGGATGGTATTTAAGGAAGTTTCCTAAGGTACTGGAAATTTCTACATTAAATCAGAGTGAGGAGGCCTGTGTATCAGTTTGGACTTGCCAACTACCTAGGTGATGATGGGTTGGTACATGACCTCCAGAGGCTTGGTTTCCTCCTCTGTGGAGTATGGGGAGAGTTCCAGAATAATACCCAGGTCCCTGCCAATCTGCCAGCACTCTGGGTTTGAAACAGGCAATTTTCCCTTCAAGCAGGGACTTTCTAAGATTTTAGGCAGAGCACCAGCTGAACACAAAACAATAGGAAGGCATGTGCTTTCTAACCTAAACTATTTTCTTGGGGGAAAATTGTTTCTATAAATAAGCACCTTGCAAATAAATATTTTGAGCCCCTTCAGCGTGATGAGTCTGTGACACCCAGGGAATCCCAGTTTGCTTGTGGTTAAGAGGACAAACCCAGGATTCATTCCCTTCCAGTGAAGGTTTACAGCATGAACTTCTAAATTCTATTTTTCAGCCATTTCTCCTTCTCCCTGATCCAATCAGGATGCCGCCTTGATTTATAGCGAAGTCATTACTGGTCCCTGGATCCATGCATAGCCACTCAGCGAGCACCTCTCAAGAGTCCAGTCCTGGAGAGAAATCACACCCCCCCAAAATCACACAAAACTCAATTCCAGTTTCCTTGCCTTGAAGAGGGGAGTTTTGAAGACATAAACCTACACCTATTATACACATCTCAGAGGGCATTTTATCAAGGGCCAGTGGGTTACGAGAGAGTTCAGACAGGGGAGGGGCCGTGAGTTCCTCAGAGATAGGAAGGCTGCTTGGAGGACGTGGGCTGTCAGCTGGTCCCTGAAGATTGAGTGAGATGTGTTTAGGGCAGTGGTTACTCAAATCATGGTCCCTGACCAGCAGCATCAGAAAGACCCAGAAACCTGTTAAAAACGCAGCGTCTCAGATTCCCAGCCCAGATGCAGTGAATCAGGAACCGCGGGGTGGGGGCGCTTAGCACGTTGTTTTTAACAAACCGTATGCTGGCGATTCTGACGCTCACTCTAGTTTGACGACTTATTTAGGAGTAAGGGATGGCCTAAGGCCACTGGGAGTCTTTGGAATGAGGTGGAGAGTCCACGTGAAACTCCAGGAAGTAGTGAGCTGGCATGCTGGTGGCACACAGGCAGCCACAGTGCCCAGTGGGAGGCCAACCCTGGGTCCTAACCCCAACGTCACCACTCCCTCCCTGTGTGACGTGGGATAAATCACCTAGCGTCTCTGAGTGTGGACTTCCTCCTCTATAAAGAGGGAAATGGCACGACCTCGCTGGGAAGCTGAGAGATGTATGTGAAGCTCCTGGCGTGCCTAGTGCAGTGCAGGCAGCAGCAGAGGTTGAGTCCCCAAGAGGTGGGGGGCTGGGAGGGAGGGTGTGAGAAACGAGGTAGAAGGGTCAGGCCTTGGGGACCATGGCCCTAGTGAACAGGGGCTCCCCTAGGGCTCCTGTCTGTATAGGACATTTGTTGATCGGTGCTCTGGAGACTTCTTTGGTGGCGGAGAGGCAATAAGGGGAGATCACAGTGCCAGGTGCCCCTCAACCTTGGGCCTATGGACAGGCTCTTAAGGTAGAGATCTGTGCAATATGGCACCCTTTAGGATGTGACAGAGAGGGTCAAGAGTCTAGATATGAACCATTTTTCTATTTAATAACCAAAGACATGTTTCTGAATGTGGTTTCTCCTCCCTCATCTTGACACCTGCAACTCAGGTGCAGGTAAGCAGAGAGGACACATCTACTGCCCGTGCTGGGCCACCTGAGGTCAACAGCAAACATCTGCTGGGGGGGGGAGTGTTGCTTGCTGGGCAGCAAGCCTGGAGCTCCTGTGGGGGCTTCAGCCCCCGTGTCCTAGGCGCTCTCCGCTGGAGGAGAGACAGACACATGCCGACAGGGCCCCGGGGTCCTCGTGGCACCGCTTGTCAGACACGAGGTTTAGTATGTGACACAGACAACTTCATTTCAGTCTGACAACCACCCCGAGGCAGCCAGAGGCTCAGAGGAGAAAGGTGAGGCTAAGGGAGAGGGAGCCTGGCTCAAGGTCACAGAGGCAGATGCAAGCCCAGGCTCTCTGACTCTGGCCCCTGTGCTGCCTTGGGAGGAAGTGCATCAGCCACGGGCGAGGCCAGAGAAGGCTTCAGAGGCAGCAAGATCTAGCATCTTAGCAGCTTTCACAGCCTTGATATCGTTCCCCAGGGGACCAAAGCGGTGAGGCTTTCCAAACCGAGGGACCGGAGTGGGCACAGCTGACGCGGGGTGAGCTGGGGCCTGTCTGCCAGGGCCAACCTCGAAGGTCCCTCCAGCTTTTAGAAGATGCTCTCTGAGCCTCATTCAGGTCCTCAACTCAAACATGAGGGGCAGGGCTTCCCACCTCCCTTGGTGCCCAGGTTTGCAGCAGCAGCTCCTAGCTCCTCGGCCCTCGGGCCCTCCTCCCCAGGCAGCGCCCGGCCTCAGACGAGCCCTCTGAAAGGCTGCTAGGAGCCAGGACTCCTTGCTCATTATTCCAAGAAGGGATCCTGAAGAGGCCCATCAGGGCCCTCACCTGCCCTCCACCAACCAGCACACAGTGGGTGCTCAGGAAAGCCAGGAACTGAAGTGGAAGGCAGGAACTTCCTCCAGGCAATTGTCAATGAGGGTAACCGAGTTCCTTGTGGTCTCTAGTGATCATCAAACGGGTGGGTTCTTGGTTAAGACTGAGCTGGCGTGGTGGGAGGGATACCAGTCAAGGGCATGGTGGGAGTGCATTCCCACTGTTACCCTCTAGTAACTCTTACTTCATGGTCAATAATGAGCTTTAGTTTCCCCAAGTTTGTGTAACTGTCTTGGAGAGTCCTGTTTCTCTGAAATAAAATCAATATTTGCACTTAAAATTGAGAGATCATGGAGTTGCTAAACCAATAAATTATTATCCCACAATAAATTACGACCCAGCATGGTGCTAGGGATAGTGGGTCTTCCATGTAAGTTAGTGAATAAAGAGATGAATGGGAAGAAGGAAGCAACTTTCACATTAGAACTACAAATAGGATCATCCCCGATGACTGCAGTGGTTATTTTTCCATTTTCTGCACGTGAGACCCTTTAGCTATATAAATGTTTAGCTATACTGGGGGCCACAATGAAATAAACCAATAAACGCTATGGAATATCTACTGAGGGTGAGGGCACCCCCAAAGCTCCTAGTGGCCCCTGAGTCTCCTCCACAGTCTTTTAGAAATAAAAATAACTTTATTTTCAAAATATCTCTCAACTCTTTTTCAATAAAATGCAACAGAAAGGAATGGGATTGAATTTAGACACCAAGTCAGGTTATTTCTGGACAAGGAAGGCCAGCCACTGAGTCCGGGGTCTGTCCATCTAACCTAGACTTTCATCCAATACGTTTCTATTTCACCCCAACACACGTCCCCATTTATCTGCAGTCTGTCTACTTTTATGCTCTGCTAAAGAGGCTTTAAACAATCGTGGAGAACCAATGTACCTTTCCTTTTGCGTTAATCAGACAGAAGGTAGAGGTTGTCTAAGATTAAAAGCGTCTAATATCTACATTTTATTATCTTCTCCCCTTTTTTTGTATTTTGATCTTAGGACTTCAAGGACAGAAAGGAACAAAAGGAGAATCAGGAGTTCCAGGTAAAGTGCCGGCTTCATTTTCATTCCTCACAGTGATGACTGGAAGGGCTTGTGCTCCAAGGGTGGGTCTTGTCGACCCTGAAATCATGGCGGTAACCTCAGTAACCTTTCCCCAGAGTGTCTCCGCCTGCAGGGCTCGATCGCTCAGACTCTTTGGGTGACAAACCTGGGGAAGGGGTGTAGAGAGAGGGGCGGGGGCAGAGGGGGTGGAGGGTAAAGAAAGCCAGGCCAACTGCCCCTGGTGGTGGCTTCAGGCCGCACAGCCGCCGAGGAGCTGGGCGACCTCCCTCTCCAGCTGCCAGGTTGGTTGTATGGCCTCTATCTGCCTGTCCACATCTGCTCCGGTCCATCTCCCTCTACCCTTTGGCCCTCAAGGCGCCCCCCTCTTCCTGTTGCTTCTCACGGGGCTATCATCACGGTCCTCGTGGGCCCCCGCTTTAGCTAGTGGTTGGTTACTGTGCCCTGCGCACGGCATTTCTAGGCTTCTTGCCAGCCCTACCCTGAGAAGCCAAAGCGACACTCCTCAGACACATTTCCTGAGCAGTCTTTCTTCCACCTGAGCTGGATATTCTATCCCTATTCTAACTTACTGAAGGAGAAATTGAATCCTAGAAATGTTCTAGCAAATTCTCCCAGGATGGCTAGAACATCCACACAATTAGGCCGTCCAATGAGGAACAACAGCCTTGGAATACTGTCGGCAATTTTCACCCGCTCGTCCTCAACCAGAGTTTACACAGGAGTCGGGGGATCAGGGTAGTGCCCTGCCCACTCGGGCTGAACATTCGAACAGCCCATTGATGGGGGCAGGGGGGGAACCTGGTGGTTTAGGACAACTCATGCACTAAACACCAAGGCCCTTAGTCCCCTTTGGAAAGCAGAGCAGAGCATCTGATGGAGGTGGTCTCTCTCCTCCGCAGGCCCTGCAGGCGTGAAGGGAGAGATGGGAAGCCCAGGCCTGGCCGGCCTCAAGGGGGCACCTGGACCAGACGGCCGAAAGGGAGAGCCCGGAGCGAAAGGTAAGGCCTCGGTTTCTGATGTGAGGGTTCTAAGGAGAGGCCTGTCATAAGGTGCTGGGAGTTTTCAGAACCAGAAGGGTAGAGGTTTAGTGGCTCTGTGGCCAAGTCCTGTGCTGGGATCGCCCTCAGCGCTGAGCTTACAGAGGAGAATAAGGCACGGCCGGGCACTTCGAGTGGCAGGCCAGTGACCATGCGCTGGCACCACGCCCAGTCAGGCCCTGGACCACACAGTCTCCATGACTGATGGCAGGAGAGACTTCCAATTCCATGTCTCTTGAATGTTCCTCTCTAATAGTGTTTAAATCCTTCCTGCTGTGGCTCAGGCCCATTTCTTCTTCTTTTTTTTTTTTTTTTTTTTTTTTTTTTTTTCCTGGGGCTCGTTTCAATTGATTCTTTGAGATTTTATACGTAGACAAACATCATCTCTAAATAAAGACTTTTATTTCTTCCTTTTCTATCTTTATACCTTTTAATTATTTATTTTACATTTCTTTCAGATTTTCTACATAGACGATAATGTCATCTGTGAACAAAGAAATTTATTTCTTCCTTCCCTATCTGTATACTTTTAATTTCCTTTTCTTGCCTTATTGGACTAGGTAGTACTTCCAGTATGATGTTTTAAAGGAGTTGTGAGAGGGGACATCCTTGTCTTTTACCTGATCTTAGTGGGAGAGCTTTGAGTTTCTCACCATTAAGTATGATGCCAGCTGTAGGTTTTATGTAGATAGTCTTTATCAAATTGTGAAAGTTTCTCTCTATTCTTAGTTTAGTAAGAGTTTTTTTTGTTTGTTTTTTTTTGCGGTCCGCGGGCCTCACTGTTGTGGCCTCTCCCATTGCGGGGCACAGGCTCCGGACGCGCAGGCTCAGCGGCCATGGCTCATGGGCCCAGCCACTCCATGGCATGTGGGATCTTCCTGGACCGGGGCACGAACCCACGTCCCCTGCATCAGCAGGTGGACTCTCAACCACTGCGCCGCCAGGGAAGCCCCAGGCCCATTTCTTCTTGCTCACCCATGGGATCCCACGGCACATCCAGTCCCCATGATGCCAGGTGGCTGGCAAAGCTGAAGGAGAGAGTCTGACCCTCATCCCTCCACCCTCCTGCCCGCCCCTCCTCCCCACTGCTGGCAAAGGAGGGCAAGGGGGTCCTGGCTTGGTTTCCTTCGAACTGTGTGGTTTTTCTCCTCATGATAGGATCTTCTGGGCCGAAAGGAGCAAAGGGAGAAAAAGGTCAAAAAGGTAATTGCTATTTCTGTTGTCTTTAATGTGTGTTTCAGAGGTTACCCTGTACTTAAAAATTGTAGGTGTGCTGGGGGAGAGGCCTTGGTTGTCAGAGAGATTCCTCATTTGGGCGGAAAGCTAAGGGCTTGTCCCTTGAATAAGCCTGCCCGTGGCACAGAGCCAGAGATAACACCTTCCTCCCTCCCTCCCTCTTTTCTTCCCCCTTTTTTATTGACAACACAAGGCTAAACATGGTGGGATGGATTTGCAAGGACAGCTGCAGAGGGACCTGCCCCCATGGCCTCACACCTGCAGGCCCAGGTGCACAGAGCCGCTGGTTGTGCTGGTGCCAGCATGTGGGATCTTCCCAGCTGTGGTGGCAGCCAAGCAGGAGGCTTCTTTTCCCTAACTATAGGACTTCCAGAAATGAAAAGGCAGAGCCTGCATTCACACAAAGCCCTGGGCTGCTTCCCTCACCTCTCCCATGTGTGTTTTGTCATCCAGGCGAATCCATGTTATCTGTCCGGATTGCTGGCTCTAGGAACCGAGGCCGGGCTGAAATTTACTATAATGGTGCCTGGGGGACAATTTGCGATGATGACTGGGACAATTCAGATGCCACCGTCTTCTGCCGCATGCTGGGTTTCTCTTCGGGAACTGCCGTTTTCAACGTGGGAGCTGGTAAGTGAATTGATCCTCAACCAGGAGCCTCTTTCCTTGAGGTGCTGATGCGGGCTTTCTCTCCCTGGTAGGGTATTGGCAACCATTGGTTGCAAGTGACTCAGCTTGGTTGGGTTAAATGAAAAGGATTGGTTCAAGCAACTGAAAAGTTCTGCAGCCCAGGGCCCCAGCTTACATCCTTCAGACTTGGCAGCCCCAGGAGAAAGAAGGCTCTCTTCCCCAAAGGGACAGCAAAGGCTTGTTTGAGTTGCTGTCTGTCCAGCCCTAAAGCCAGAACGCCATGTGATGGAGGGTGTTTGTGAGGGACACTCTCTGAACAGCTGAGGGGCTGGAGCTGGGAGAACAGAGAAGGATGCAGGGCAGGCAGCACAGTGGTCATCCCAGATCTCTGAAACCTGAAGGTCTAGGTGGCCCAACCTTGATCATCTTCAAGGATAAGGTGTGAAGGGAAGAGAAAACGAATCAGAGCAGGGACCTCCTAAAATCAGTTTTGGAAAGATGTCCTGGGGTGCTAGGGACTCAGCTATGTCTTGCAGCAAAAGGTTTAGACTTTCAACAAAAGAGTTAAGCCCCAGGTGTGAGACCATTTCTGAGCTGATCTGGCAGGTACACTAGGCCTGTTTCTCCTGCCCCCACCCCAAAATGTTCTCTACCCTTACCCCTCCCCACAACCCCACCAAAATGCATACCTACTTTTCAATCTGAGTCCAGTTGGATTACAAAACTCCTTTAAAATACACATTTTCCTCAAACAGATTAAGCCTCTATAGATGGTCACACTCTACTGTAAATTACGGAAATCAAATAATCCAGTAATTCCTCTGAGCTCCTGATCTGAAATCAATTATATCAGAAGGAAGGGGGTTTGAGGAAGGTGTGAATGCTTTAGAACACGTGAATGGCCTGTTTACAAAGGCATTTAAGGAAGAGACAAGCCCTAGAGATCCCTAGGAGGAGATTTCAAATCATGCTTGGGTTACATATTAAATACTCAGATGAGACTTTTGTCAAAGGGTAGAAAGCAGAACAGAGGCAGAGCCATCGTAAGAGAGGAGACCAGCCGTCAGCACGGTGGGCCTGGGCACATGTGGGAGAAATTGGCAGTCTAGCTCCCCGTGGAAGCCCCTGAGGACAGACGGGCCACGCTGCTTGGACCCTAATCCCACGCTCCTCTCCCTCCTTGCTTTTGCTGTGTCCAGGCACTGGGACCATCTGGCTGGACAACGTTGCATGTCAAGGGTCGGAATCGACCCTATGGAGCTGCAGCAAGAACAACTGGGGCTCTCACAACTGCAACCACAGTGAGGATGCGGGTGTGGACTGCAGCTGACCCCGCAGGCCGTTCACTGCTCTGCCCCCAAGGCATCCACAGCCAAGACACTCAGCCCATGAAGCAAGGCCGTGCTCTCTGAGGGGCTTCCTGGGGTGGCTGACAGCCTCTGAATTGGGCTTACTAATAAAGCTCAAAGCGCTACCTGGCACCGCCCTGTGCCATGGCTGGAATCACTAGCTCGTCCCTCCTGCCCACTCCCTGCACACAGCCTTTCACTGAGTCCTAACGTTCCCTGCACCCCCATTCCCACGCACGGGGACAGTGGAGTCTCAGCTCAGAGCCAGGGAGGCTGAGGGTACAGGGGGCCTGAAATGCAATGCTGAAAGCGAGGCTCACCTGTAGACAGAAGTACTCATGACCAGCCTTTCAATCAATCCGATGTAGCATCTCTGCACAGCAGTGGGCACTCCCTCCAGCACTGGAGCTGCTCGGCAGCAAATGAAGAGGCCACGTGTAGCTGGCACCAGATTGCATGGAAAATAGTAAACATACCATTAAGCATGAAAATTTGTTCTCATTAGGATGTGACCTCCATAAATGCAGGAACTTTTGTCTGTTTTATTCACCCCTATAGGGGCTCAGTAAATATTTATGGAATGAACGACTGAATTAAACCAAGAAGGTAGAGCAGCTCCCCCTCTCTGAGAAATTTGGCCTCCCTCTCCCTTTGCAGTCTTCCCCTGGGATACATATTCTCTGAGCGCAATCACATGCTCTCGCCCTCTCCCTCCAGGTGTTGTAAATGGTTCAGGTAAATGTGAAATCTGGGAGAGTGGGATGCAGGGATGCAGCTCTGAGACATCATCGTTCACACTTGACCTGTAAGGAGCTCAGCCTCAGGGCGTTAGGAGACTTGCCCAGGGACACTTGTAAATGGTGGGACCAAGGAGGAGCGGTGGAAGGGCTGGGAGATGGAGTGGACACCTCGGGGCTTTCTGCCTCAAGAGCTCAACCAGCCACCCAGGACCCAATATGCACTTTCAGAGGCTGCAGCTGCACACTCAGCACCAGGGGCGGAGCTGCAGGGGGACGTGAGGGCTCTCTGGCCCTCGGCAGGGAAAGGGCCATGGGACAGGGGGTTGAAAGCTGCCTGTTTTCATTTGTCAGAAACCTCTATAATGATGCAGGTTTTCCTGGCACTTCACGATACGGGAGTGGTAGGTCAGTCAGGGAGGAAAGAGGACATTTTAAGCCCTATCAGGGGTGCTGGGATATAATATTTTGCAAATGGTAACTAATGTGTCTTATCAGCCTCCTTATCTCTCCAATCTTATTGCCTGTTCCTTGTTTCCCACCACCCCCCCATTCCCCCACCCCCGTAAAGGAAGGAAAGGGCAGGTACAGCCTGAAACAAAGATGTCATCTGTCCCATCTGAACCTCAGAACTGACTTCCTGAACCTCTTTAGAAAGAGGAGAGCCATGAAAATAGAGTTGAAAGCAGAAATAGTTTTCTAGTTTTTTCCATTTAGCTTATCAAAAGCCAAGCCTGGCTGACTTGATTATAGTGTTTTAAGTGCAGGAGGTCTGAACAGAGCAATCAGGAAGGGAGGGTACCGTGAAAACCCCCTGCTCCTCACAGGGGAAGGTGGGAAAGGAGACAAGGAGACAAAAATAGAGGAGGGTCCTCCCTGGAGTCTCAGGCCCAACTCTCCCACCTTCATCTCCTCTCCCAGGATCTGCCTCTTCCAAGAATGATGCACTGTGGGACTGGTTCCTGCCTGGGGGACCCCTTCCATCTTCCTTAGGGATGTGTCAGTAGGCATGCTCTCCTCTCTCTCTCTCTCTCTCTCTCTCTCTCTCACACACACACACACACACACACACACACACACACACACACATCTTTCCACAGGAACAAACGACAGTTTACAGGCACAGAAGAGACAAAATCCTTGCAGAGAATGGACCATCCCCCCCGCCCCCACGATCACAGCAAGGAAACTGAGAGATACAGCTGAGCCCACCCAACATTTCCCTTCCATGGCTTTGGTTTTCATCTCTTGGCTGTTGATTCCCCAACCTATACTTCCAGTGAAGACCTCTCTCCTGAGCTCTGGCCACCTGTATGTCCACCAACTGCCTCCACACGGGTATCTCGAAGGTCAGGCAGCTAAAGCCTGCCCCCATCTCAGCTGATGGCTCCCAGGGTCCAAGACAGAAACTGAGTGTCAAATGCCATGCCTCCACCAGGCACCAAGTCTCACTCATTCTACCTCCCAAACCTCTCCATCTCTGCCACCAAGATGATCCAGACCCCAGCCCCAGTGGCCTGGGTGCTTGGAACTTCTCCTAATTAGTCTCTTGCATCCACCATGCTCTACCAACCACCTATTTGTTCTGCAGGCAGCAGCCTGAGACATCTTTAGAAATGATACAGCTCACCATGCCACTCCCTGCCTATAGCCTTCAGTGGCTCCCCATTCCCTTAGGCAGTGGGTCAAACTCACCATCTCGGCTTACAAGGATGTGCCCCTGACAATCTCACCTGGTCCTCCAGCAACGTTAATGTTTTGTTTCCCCTCTATCACATCCAGTCCTTTGTTCATGCAGTTTCTCTTATGCAATGTCTCTTACACAATAGACTCATGATAAATGTTTTCTGACTGGCTCCCTGAATAAATGAATGACTGCCTGAACAAATGAAGGGATGCTAAACAGAGCACTTAGCTTCTCGTATTGGGATTGCTTCATAGTCTGTCTTCAGATGGGAGGCGCATCCTTGTCGTGCACTGTACTCTAATTTTTGTGGCTAAAGACCCCTGCATCCCCACCCACTAAACACGTTCCCCCATACAAAGGAATGGTTTTCTCCAGAGGCAAATCTAATCCGAGGCCTTTTACAAGATTAGCTTTCGAAACAAAATCGTGGGGTCCAACTTTTACAAGGTGTATTGTAAATTTTAAAAGTTCTTATCGGGCTTCCCTGGTGGCACAGTGGTTGAGAGTCCGCCTGCCAATGCAGGGGACACTGGTTCGTGCCCCGGTCCGGGAAGATCCCACGTGCCGCGGAGCGTCTGGGCCTGTGAGCCATGGCCACTGAGCCTACACGTCCGGAGCCTGTGCTCCGCAACGGGAGAGGCCACAACAGTGAGAGGCCCCTGTACCGCAAAAAAAAAAAAAAAAAAGTTCTTATCTTCCTGCTGCCTCAGCATCACCACAAACAGGCTATGAGCACCAGCCCAGGTGACCAGGTGCACCAGTGTGATAAGCTGGGCCCTGCCACAAATTCCCCTTCCTCCCTTCCTGTCGCTGTGACCTAATGGCATTCAAACGCACCAATGAAATCCCCTCACACTGTTTGTGTACCCCACCCACCCCCTCCCAGACAAAGGCCCTCACCCACAGGTTCTCACCCTTTCCCAGCTCCCTGCCTGCGTGGCTGACCCACCCCCTTGGTGCTCTCTGTGGTGGCTCCCTCTCAGCCTGCAGCGACTCTGTCTCACTAAGACCTGTGAGTGTAATAGACTTTGTTTTCCCCTCCTGGGTCCCCTCTTGAGGCTGCACCTGACCGACCAACCCCTAAAAGGACACAGCACACCAGAGCATCATATGATACAAGCGGTATCATTTGCATCTCATACATAAGCAAACTGAGTCACTGAGAGGTTCAGTCCCGGGTATTCTGGTCCCAATTCACCACCTTTCTATTCACGTTGCCTTTGCAACGTGACCCCAGCTCTTCTCAACAGGAACCGAAGCTGTTACTGCTCCACTCCCTCGCTTGGAATTCCTGCCACGATATGAAACCAAGCCCAGGCTAAGCTGCTGGGAGTGAGCATGTGAAGAAGTACCCAGTTACCCCAGCAGAGGCCATCCTCCGCGAGCCAGCCAACAGCTGGCCCCAGTCACGTTAGCGAGCCCAGCAGAGACTGGTCAAGCCCATATCAGAAGGACTCACTGCCCAAGCGACCCATAAACTCATGAGTAATCGCAGATGGTTGCAACTGAAAGCCACTAGGTTTGGGGGTGGTTTGTTAGGTAGCGGCCAAATAAAACTATACACAGCCAGTGAGAAGTAGAGGGGGATTCACACAGCCCGGAGAGTTGCTGCCTGGCACCTCCTCCTGGTGGGTCCTCTGCTAAGCTCTCAGGCCGAGGTAAGCTGAGGAAGTCCCTTTAGAACCGCAGAGACCACAGAAAGTAGCCGCAGTGTGTGGCACGCTGGTGCTGTGGCTGACAGGCGGCTGCTGGTGCGACTGAAGAGGAACTGGGTAGAATGAGCAGGAGCGCATCCTCAGTGGTCAGAGAACAGGCTGGGCGGCTGGGGCCGCCGTATGTTGGGCATGACCTCTGTGTGACACTACCGTCCACTTGAAATAACTCTCCTCCCTCCTGCTTCCCTTTCCTGGGGACTCTGTGCCCTGTCTGAGGCCGGCAGCACAGACACCAGCACCGAGCATACTGTCTGGGCGCAATGGAGATGGCAGGGTCCTCTGTGTGCAAGACTCCCATCATTTCCCCGCCTGGAAGGGCAAGCACGGAGAGTTTCCCAGCATCCAGCTGGACAGGTGCAGCTCGGAACTGAGGTTCTGGAGCCTGACTGCCTGGGTTAGGATCTGGTACTGCCACGTAGTAGGCCTTTACCTGCACAATCAAGTTACTGAAACTCTCTGGGCTTTCCTCATCTGTAAAATAAAGACAGTAACAGTTCCTCCCTGTCAGAGTTCTTGTGAGGATTAATTGAAAAGGTAATTTAAAAGAAAGCACCTTGGGCTTCCCTGGTGGCACAGTGGTTGAGAGTCCGCCTGCCGATGCAGGGGACACGGGTGCGTGCCCCGGTCCGGGAAGATCCCACATGCCGCGGAGTGGCTGGGCCCGTGAGCCATGGCTGCTGAGCCTGCGCATCTGGAGCCTGTGCTCCACAACGGAAGAGGCCACAGCAGTGAGGGGCCCGCGTACCGCAAAAAAAAAAAAGCATCTTAAATGGTGCCTGGCACATGGTAAATGCTTGGTCTCGGTTATTATGATCCTTCAAGACCCTTCACAGCCATCCCTC